ATCTTTGCATTTCTGAGAAGATTGCAACATTATTTCTATTTGCTTCATATAATATATACATATATATATATATATATATGATTTTTTTTTAAGACCAGGTAAAAGGCAGTCTACCAAGACAAAAATCTCTCAGACAATAATGAGTCTAACTCCAGTCAAACACTACAAAATAAAACTTCATCCTCAATTTCAACCCAGGTCACCTAAAGAATCTGTTCTTCAAATTCCACCTGGATGTAATGAGCCAACCATCCCCTGCACCAGGATGGTGTGAAAAAAAGGCCTGTGGGCTGGGACTTTCACCCCTGCCAGGTCAGAATGAGTACCCCACAACCTCTTGCAGTGATAGTGCAAACCATATGGAGAGTGTGAAAACTCCACCCCACCCCCAGTAGATGGTGAGGAGACACCACCCCTTTCTGCCAGGGTGGCACTAGAAGAGATCTAGTGGATAGTCAGGACTTTCACTACCAGCAATCAGCAATGAGATCACCTCACACAGTGTCAGTGAGGTCAAGTGGAGAGCTGTAAGGAGGTACCTCTACCCCTCAGTCAGGTAGGCGTCAGCAGAGGCCTGAACTCTTACCCTGGCCCAGCAGTAATGAGTCATGTTTAGACTCCTCCACTGGAGACTTGGTGGGGAACATGGATTTCAACTTCTATCGGCTGAACCTCTTTCCTCAGTGTCATAGGAGACTTACTAAGTCAGGAGATTTAAATGAGATCCAGAGTCTCATATCATAATATTCAAAATGTCCAGATTTCATTTAAAAATTATTCATTAAACCAACACCCAGGAACATTTCAAATTGGTATAGGATATACAACTGAAAGCAACAAATGAACAAACAAGACAAACAAACAAAGACTTATAGACAAAGACAACAGTATGGTGGTTACCAAAGGGAAAAGGGTTGCAGGGGGCAGGGGAATAGTAAAGGAGGGACAAATATATAATGAAGAAGGATTTGGGGTGGTGGACACACAATGAAACATACAGATGAATATTAGAGAATTTACCCTTAACCCTATGTTATTAACCAATGTAACTCCAATAAATTTAATTAAAAAATAATTAATAGATATGAACACTGAGATGACACTGGTGATAAAATTATCTTGATTTTTAAAAGAGCCACATAAAAATGCTTCAGTGAGCAACTACAAAACTGCTTGAAACACATAAAAGAAAAAAATAGAAACAATCCACCTTATCTTAAAAGCAAAAACTGAGACATAAGGAAGAATCAAATGGAAATTCTAGAACTGGCACATATAATAACCAAAAACAAAACAAAACACACACACACACACGCTCAATGGATGGCCTTAATAGCAGAATGTGGAGGACAGAGGAACACATCAGTGACCTCAAAGATAAAACAATATAAATTACCAAATCTAAACACAAAAAAGGGAAAACAACCAAAATAAAAATAAAAAACAGAGCCTCAGGACGTGTGGAAGCACTAAAAAAAAGGTCTAACATTTATAAATCAGAATCTCAGAGTAGAAACCAAAGAGGTCAGAACTGAAAGAGTCTTCAAAGAAATAATTGCTAAAAATGTCCTTATGAACCAAAATATAAACCTAAAAATTCAAGAAGCTGTATTAATGCCTAACAAGATAAATGGAAAGAAATCTACAAAAGATGTATCAACATCAAATTTCTGAATACTAAAAAGGAAAAAAATCTTGAAAGCAGCAAAAGGGAAACGACATCCACCTTATCTTAGAAGAAAAGACTTAAAAATAAAATGACAGTACATTAATGATACAGATACACCGAACACATGTGAACAGGTGAAAAGCAGTAGTCATGACATCAGTATTAAATAATGTTAATTTTATGGCAACAAGCATCTAATGAGAAGGGCACTTATAATAGAGGATAAATTCATGCTGTAATCGATATGTATAAAATAAATAAACACAGTATTGAAATTAATAAAGCAAAAGCCATATGCTAGGAGGAGAAATAGACTGCAAGAGCTTATCAGTAGACTATTTGTTAGCTCATACACATATTACTGTATACACATATGCATAAAAATAATCTTGTCGATACTTGCACTAATAAACTATGTCTAATTGCTATAAGCCAAACTGCACCCTGAAAAATTGTAAAAGAAAATCAGGCAATTCTAAAAAATATAATCCATGACATTTCATTATCACAAAGCAATAAAACAGGAACAATAACAAAACATATACCTACTGGGGTAGGGTTGTGGGGAGGGGGAAGTCCATTACAGTATACTGCATTGGCATTTTGAAATCTCCTTAAATAATCAATGGCTAAAAAGGGCAAACAAAACCAACATTTTAGAAATTTAAAACATTAATAATAATATTCACAACCTATAGGATAAAGCTAATTCAGTTAAATGGAGGAAAATTTATATTCCAAAATACTTATGTTAGTAAATAAGAAATGATGAAAATAAGTAAAAAAAATAAAGAACAATAAAATATACTTAAAGTGATCCCTACATTAATTTATTCACCAAAATTACTTCCAGGTACTTACAATAATTACAAAACTATGACAGTAATAGAATTACCATTATGATTTTTTCAAATTTATTTTGAGGCCAGATATAAATTGTGACAAAAACACAAAACCACAGGAGGAAAAAGAAAAAAAAATAAACAAAAAAGAAAGACTAACAAAGCACTAAGTTTCTTAATCAACAAAGAATTCTTATATATCAAGAAAAGAACCCATGACACCCAATAGATCTTATGAAAAGTTGATAAGCATCATTCCTAATGTGAGAAATCCAAATTAAAGTTGCAATTATATGTCACTTCACCTATCAGATTTTCTTAATATACCAATTTGAAGATTGAAACATGGGCACACTGATAATTCTTAATAAATTTGCAAATCTCTTTGTAAGGAAATTTGATAATATCTGTTATGATTTAGAAGGACATATCACTTACTGAGAAAACCATCTGGGACTTACCCTTCAGGTATAATATTACATATGAATAAAGACTTCCATGAGGATATCCATTACAGTGTTGTTTATAACAGTAAAATATTTTAAACAATCTACTTGCCATCAATACTCGACTGGTAAAATAAATATTTCTTAGATGCAATAAATCCTATGCAGCTGTTAAAAATGAATGAAGGTTTATGCAGATCTGTTACATGTACAAATTTTGAAACACCTTGGAAACTTTTATTTACAGAAGAAAGCTAATTTTACAATATTACTTATCTGTGTTAACATTTTGGGTAAAAAAAAAGATTAAAGGGTAAGAGAGATATACATATGTATGCCTTATTAGACATGGAATATTTCTGGATATATTTAGTTATTTACCTACTCAATTCAATAATTATTTATTGAATGCCACTGCCTGTTTTAAGCTCACAGAATATATGAATAAAATATTGATACCCCGGTTCTCATGCAACTTGTTTTCTTGTGGAGAAGAGACAATAAAAAATAAACATGTTTAATAAGTTATGTCTGTGCATGACAAAAGGAAATAAAATCTACAGTAAAATAAAAATAGAGCATGGCCAGGGGCTTGAGAATCTAGATGGGTTGGAATTGTTAATTGAGTAGTCAGGATTAGGCCTATGGTACAGAAAAGAGATGGCAGCCATGATGTTTTTGAGAAGGGAACCTGGAAGACAGGAGCACAGGGATGAAATGCTTTTTCTCAGACTACTAACCTTTATATAATGTTTGAAATATTCATTCGGTAATAACATGAACTTTAAAAAAAAGCAATGAAGTTATATAAACAATTCTATGCAGACATTTTTCTAACACTTAGACTTGTGGAAAGTATCATTTCTCAGTCCTCCTCACTTTCCAATTATGCTTTTGTCTTAAGCGTTATCATAAAGTCTTATATTTTTACAGATTTGCCAGTTTCATCAATGCCTGTCAACGGTCAGGTAGGAAGATGAATGGGCCTCCTGGCTGATGAGGTTGCTTTAAATGGGTGAAAGGGAAACCAATCAAAGTTTATTTTAATAGTATACTGGTAGGACTTGGTGTCAATGATTCTACTTCATTTGCCTTAAAGGCAAAAACTAAAACAGAATAAATGGCAATTAATTTAAAGAAACTCATTATACATGTGATGATAATCTAACAATTTGTTGTACAACTAAAATTGCTATTTAAATAAACAAAATGAAAACTCTTCTTTCATTTGGTACTAAAATGAAGTGCACCTGTTCAGTCCAATAAAAGCATACAGATCTAATTCAAGTACATGCTCTGTTACATATTAACCAAATGCTTTCAGGCGAGTAAAAAAACCAAAACTCTCTAATGTCTCTCCTGCTACCTGGAGTACAAAGAATGCTTGATGAGAAGTCAGAAGTTCTAGACTTGAATCTTGGTTTTTATCTCTTCTGGCTGCTTAAGCCTGAGCGAAACCTAAGTCTCTGAGCATCAGTTTTCTCAAGTATAAAATAGGAATAGTGTACCCACATCAGAGGGATATTATATTTGTGAGCATTAAATGAGATAATTCATGTGGAAAATATCATTATATAAAAATACTATAAACTGGAAGGTATAAATGGCAGGTCCTTGGCCAAATCTAGCCACAAATGTGTTTGAGTTGGCTGACAGTTCTGGATCCCACGGTGCTGTAAAGCAATTTTAATTAGTTGCCAATGTTCAAAGATTGGATGAATTTATGTAAAATATGGATTTTTAAGTTTTCCTAAAAAATTATATTAGCTGGCTCTATCGGGCCCATATTCTGTTGGCAAAAAACCAACTAAATGTGAGTGGTGGTTAGTCTCGCCTTAGGGAGCCTTTGTGCTCCCAATTGGTGTCACTTTCCTTCATTCATCATTCAGTTATTTGCCCCCTGACAGTGAAGACTCAATTTTCTTTATGCCTGGCCAGCCTCCCTCTCTCCTGTCTTAACTCCTACTGGCCACATATTTTTGTTCTGTCACCCACCATTGTAAGCTGCAGTGCTTTTCCTATTCCAGCACAAAAACATTAAACAAACTGCTCATCTGTCTTCTTTATCAGTTACTGAGACAAAATATATAAAAGGCTTCCATTGCTAATCTGGGATTGACCTCTGCTTGTTCTCTAGGGGATCTCTAGTTCCCAGCCACATCATTATGAGCCCAATAAATATTTATGGATTGAATAAAAACGTGAATGAATGACAGTGATGTGCCTTCTACCTTAAAGATACATCTGAGTGTGTGTTTTCATTTGAACATTTTCTTATGCTTTTGCTACTTAGCTATGATTACTCTATCTGAAGCAGAGAAAAATGTTTGCTCATATGACATTTTTATTCAGTTTGATTTTTGTTTTTATTTTTTACTACAGGATGTCCCCAGACAAGGTATGGCCCAAATTGTGAGCTCATTTGTACCTGTAAAAATGGTGGCCTTTGCAATCCTGTGGATGGAAGCTGTACCTGTGGCCTTGGATGGACAGGAAATTATTGTGAAAAAAGTAAGTTGATTGCCACCTTCTTTCATTCAATAAAAATCTAGAGGCTACTGCCACTGGTTGATAAAATATAGGACAGGCCCCCAAAGAGACAATTTCCCAAGAAATTCACCTAAGCCACTTGTAATTATGATTGCATTTCCAATAAAAATAGTGTTCTGTCAATATTGATGGATTTTTGTCACCTTGTTACCAGAATACCCTCTGAAAACTCTTAAAACCCTAAGTCAGTGGTTGTCAACCTTCCTAATGCCGCGACCCTTTAATACAGTTCCTCATGTTGTGGTGACCCCCAACCATAAAATTATTTTCGTTGCTACTTCATAACTGTAATTTTGCTACTGTTATGAATCGTCATGTAAATATCTGATATGCAGGATGTATTTTCATTGTTACAAATTGAACATAATTAAAGCATAGTGATTAA